TAGGAAGTATTCATATTATTTTGTGGGGGGTTTCATTTCATTATTTGTTTTCTTGATGGATGGCTAAATCACTACCAACTCACTGTGAATTCACTGAGGAGTTAACATCCAAGTTGTGTTGGTTTACTGTGATTGATTGCATATATTATTATTAGGAGTGTTGAAAATATTCAGACATGTTGAACATAGTCCATTTATAAAGTAGGGTCCTTAGCCATTTCATTTTTGTGAGGGTTAAAACAAGCTTAAATCAACTCAGTCGATAAAAATCATAACCAGTGACTTTTTTTGGTAAAATGTAATATGCATTAATGACTTGTAAAGCACTGTCACTGCAAAAATCAAACAGGTCAATGCTGTAAGGCACAGATAACATTAAAACATTAATAATCTTTTTTGTATTTTTGAAGATACAAGTATGAAAGGCAAGTCCTAATACAATGTGCAATTCACTTATTCATATAATATTCACAGTCTACATACTGCATGAAATTTGCAATATTTTATCTCAGACTCTTGTAGCACGTCAGCTTCATATCACATTAGAAAATTTTCAGTCATGTTTATAACAGTACAATAAAATGTAATAGGAATATAAGTTTTCATTTTTTCCCTTCACAGGAATGAGAGTATGAAATGAATCTGAAACACTGAAAAATTGAATTCCTTACTTTGGAAAGAAGGATTTGGAAGAAAAAAAATTACCATTGATCTAAATTCTTACGGGTCAAGACAGTATTCTCAAATCACACAGCCAGACTCAGCTGACTAGAAGCTGGCTCTTGTTTTCCAGTCACTGCACAAGCCCACTGGTGCACGTGCAATTTTATTCATATATTTTGCAACACTGACCGCCCACTATGGGTATATCTACACTATGCATTAAGGGTGTGATGCTCACTGTGTGTACACTTTTGTATGAGCTCTCATTCAGCTGGTGCAAACATAATCTGCAGTGTAGCCTCAGGAGCATGGGTAGCCACAGCAGAGTTTTGGCTTAGCCATGCAGGATATACCCCACTGGATTTATACTCAGCACAGCTAAGCAGTTTCTCTGATGCAACTACCCAAGCTACTTTGGCTACACTATTTATGCTCATACTAGCTCTCTTTCAGCTAGCACAAGCATGTATACATGAGCAAGGGAGTCTCACCCTTACCTCATAATGTAGATGGAGATTAAAACCGTTTCCATCCAAACCACTAGCTACCAACTTTGCAGAATTTACAATAAAATTAGTCTTTCTGGATGCATACAATTACGAGATACACTCATATAGGCCCTTATCCTCTCCATGTGACATGTGAGAGACATATGTAATGAATTCAAAAAAGGCAAAAAATTGCTAATTTTTTCCTGAAATCCAAGATTCAAGATCAGGGAAACCAAGACCACAGATTTATAGGCTGACATTCTCTTTGGAGAGTTATTAGAAAAATGAATAAAAACAATGTTATTAAAATGAATGCAAGACTGACATTATCAGAATCTCGCTGTTATTTTTTTCTTGAAGGTACTAAAAATATCATGAAAATAAAATTCAAGTTAATCTTTCAAGCAAGAAGTCATAATAGTTCAAGTTTAAACTGCCTGCAACTCTTTTGAGGGTAGATTTTCTTATGCTTCTGTTAGTCCCATTAAAACAAATATATCTTCCCACTGAAACGAACCAAACTGCTCATACTGTACTACGCAGTGGGTGAAATTCTGGCCTCATTAAAATCAATGATAAAACTCCCATTGACTTCAATGGGGCCAGGTTTTTTTTTTTAAATCAATCAATAATGTTTAATAGTGGGAGAATCCAGCCCTTATTGTTTTCTGTGCTTCTACCAAGACCTCTGGACAAAAAATTCATAAAGACATTATCAGCACTTTAATAGGTCTTTTGCTATAAAGAGATGGTTTAAACCATCTTTTGGGATAAATGCTGTAAATGTGTAAGCTGTGCACTACTCCCGAAGGCAATCTTCAAGTGGACAAGGAAATAAATTGGAGGGAAAAACCTATGAAACACTAAAGTCACTAAGGAAAAAAGACATGCAATAGTAGAATTAACTCTCATTTTCTTCTCTGTTTCATATGTAAGTGGTGGGAAATTAATGTATATCATGTTTGCAAAGCTAGATCAACAATACTGAAAATAACAATTCCCATTTGTATATCCTTGCCTAGATGTTTCTGGCAAAGCCTCAAACTAAAGGGAAATTAGCAATGGTTTTCACTTATTCTGAACATAAGCACTGTAGTCTGTGTTCCTTAAGAAGTGTTTTAATGGTGCCAAATTATGAGCCACATCACAGAACAATAATCCCACTGAAATCAAGGGTCAAGATCCTCAATAGGATAAGTCATTACAGCTCTGTTAAGGCACACAGGTTGGCATATGTGGCTCCCTTTTTACTATTATGCACAGAACTCAGATCAAGCAGCATGATTCACTTAGAAAACCAAGCTAAACAGCAGTATAATAGTTGAAAGCCCTGTCTCCTGCTGAGGAGAAATATGTACCCATTGTTACCTTTGTGTAAATAAAGAAACCTGGTTAATAAATTCATGAGAAGCAAAGGAAGGAGAGAATTCTTCCTAATAGTGCACCATCTGACATCCAGTTTAAAAGCCTGTGTTGCTAATGAGTCAGAACACCAAGTCTCTTCCCAGGAAAATAAAATGACTCATCAACTGGAAATACTAAGGTACCACTTCCCACAGAATTTCACAAATTATATATAGTCACCTTTCAAATAAAAGTTTACATTGTTTTATTCCAACTGCCTGAAAATGTCATTTTTCATTAATCCATTGGGAACAGCTCACTTAAACAATGCAGCAGAAGTGTCAGATTTCCATCTAACTGTTTCAGCCTCCAGTATGAACACAGTTATCCATGTCTTAATATTTCTTCATCCAATCTCCCTAGTAGGCACAAGCTGACAGCTACATCCTTCAGTTCAGTCTTTCAACCTTACAAGAGTGCTTTGCCGGAGACATCCTTGAGCACTGCAGGATCTGGACTGCTAAGTACTAACAATTAGGTATATTTGATGGATGGCTTAGTCAAAAGAAAATAAATCATTTTAAAATGGTACTTTACAATTAATACTCGTTTGAAGCTTTAGATTAGATTGAATGTGGAGATGATGAAAGTGTTATGCATCTCTTAGGGCAGGTCTACACCACACAGCTTTTAGCAACAAGGCTGTGTCAAAACTGCCCTGTTGCTAAAAGTCACTGCTTTTTGTTGGCACATTTGCAAACAAAATATATCTACCCTATTGAGCAGGTCTCCTTTTGTTGGCAGGAAAGTACTCCTGCCAACAAAGCAACATTCACACATGCATTTGTTGTGGCAAAACCTTGTTGTCCAGGGAGACAGGGGAAAGTTAAGCATCCAAGAACTACAAAAGCTTTGACAAGCAAGGGCATGCATAGGCATAATCATAGAGAATTCACTCAAAAAAAGTAATAATACTTGATGGGACTGATGTTGCCCTTTTCTCCCCCTGAAAGCCAAAGACGCCAGGTTATAATCAATGAATTCACAGAGCAAAATACAGTTTCTCTACACTACACATTTATTTGCAATCTATTAATTCAAGACTGAAAGGTTTGTGGGTCAGGCTCAGTCTATGGCACAAAACATTTAGGTCAGTAAATCAATATTGATACTTAGCAAGGCAACATCTGTATATCAGTAAGTCAACAACCTCTGGGAGGTCAACTTTGAATCAGAACTCCATTTTTTCCCCCGAATTAAAAGGCTCAAGTTTCAATTTTAACTCCTACATAAAGACAGATGTTGTAACATTAGAACTGAAGTTACTACTTACGAAAAATAATTGTTTCACCTTTATCGGGTTTTCTTTATTTATTGTTATGCTTCTTAACCACATCATTGTATTTCCTCCTAAAAGGCTTTCTTCAGTAGTAATTACTTATCACTGGGACTCTTCAGAACACAAAAAAAATCCTTTATCTTTTTAACAACATATTACAAGAGTTGTCTGTATGACTTTAATATATTAAACTGCTAAGCACAGACCATAAATAGTGTGTAGTAATGAGCTCAGTAATTCAATACCTCTTCTAGACTTCACTTCCTCTTTTCAGCATCAGTCACCATTCTTCTATCAGCCTCAGAGTCATGTATTCATGGCCTCATCTTGTACAAGCTGTCAGAACTCTTGGGCTTGTATCACATTTACTGGTCGCTGGAGGAGTAATGGTAGTTCGGAATAGGAAGCCTAATCCAAACTACCTAGTTCGTGCCGCGTGTAGCCGTGGGCACGGACTCCGAACTAGTGGACATTTAAAAATGGCGGTGCCCAGCAATATGCAAAAGAAGCCCAGGAAATTCAAATCCCGGACTTCATTTGCAACTCCAGTTGCCTACATTAACCACGCTAGTTCGAACTAGGGTGGTAGTGTAGACATACCCTAAGTGTCAGGTTGCACGTGACTGCTATAGAATGGTTTTCTGTAATATTTAGGAAAATATATGGGAATGATCTGTAAACGTTCTATGTTTAGTAGTGTTTTTATATAGAATTTCACAGAACTGAAATCTGAATGTGTTTGCATTTATGCTTAGCATTAAGGCTATATGCTGTTTCATAGCTCATATATATCCATGTTCATCTTGAAGAACCAGAGGGGCCTAGGTCCTGCTTTAAGTACAAATCTCAGTGTAGCTTTCACACTAGCATTGCTAGCGAAGCCTCCATAAAAACAAAGCTAAAAAATGCCCATAGGATGAGTACTTGAGCATAAATTAGGCAGGTAACAGAAAGACAAACAAGACTTTTAAAGATTACAATTATTTACAAAAAAATTAATCCTCTTGCAGTTTAAAATGCAAAGCTGAATGAAATATAAACTGATATCCTCTGATATTTCTTGCAAGAGAACATTTTCTATTTTCACCTGAATGCACATAAAATATAATATCACATTTTGGTCGCAAATAATGAGATCTTAAACAGAATTTTAGGGGCCTTACCTGCAAAGTTTTTGTAGTCCACCAGGTCAAACATTATAACAGCTACTGCTGACCAGGTAACAATCAGAGCAACAACAAGAAGCCATGCTGCTGGTGAACTGAATGTTGTCATTAGGTCCTCTGTAACTGACTTCTTTCCTACTTTTGCTGGTGGCGTGAGAACTGATCCATTCTTGTTGTCTATTACTGTGGTGGTGGTGGACATGTGCCCTAGTCAAACATTTTAAAAAAAGAAAAAGGATAAATAAATATGTTAAGCTACGTACCTATTAGTCTAAAATAAAGAGCATCCATGTGGCTTCTGATCTGTTACACTTGTTAAGTTTTTTAACTGCATAGGTCCTGATTCAGGAATGCACCTCTATTCAGAACAGTATTAAGCATGTATTTTATTTTGTTTACATGCTAAACTGAACATGGAAGCCTTTAAATATACTGCCTACTAAAATAGGGCTTATTTACTCAGACATTTAGTTCTTACTTGCAACAATCTGGGATATGAGTCCAGCTTGTACTAGCCTGCCAGACTGTGTGGACCGTTATGAGCTAATCCTATTTGAAACAGAACAACAGCAAAGACCATTATCTCTTATTGCACATTAGCAGTAAGCACAGGGAAGCTGGTCCATAGAAGGATAATGCAGGGTAGATTTACATCCAAGCTTGCCGCTAACTGATAGTTTACACAAGCCCTTAGATCACATTCCTGAACTAGGCCCATAAGTAATCACTTGAACATATTAAATCCATACCTATTCAGGACAATACATAAGCAAGTGGTTAACACTAAGGTCAGTGGGACTCATGTCTTTTCTTTCCTTTATGCTGAATGGGGGGCATTGAGGGGATCAGGACAAAGACTTTCTGGGTCCCTGGGCAAGGTGAAAGGGAGTGGCAGCTCCATGCTCCAAAAGGGGCAAGGCCTTGGGCAGACTGGGAAGTCCAGAGGGCTAGACAGCTCTCAGCATTGCCCAGAACAGTCCATGAAGGGCTCTAGCCCACTGCCATAGCTGCAGTAAGGGTAACATCCAGAAGCCCCACCCCCTTTTGTATTGCCAGGTCCCAGGGCAGTTACCCTCTTTGCCATCCTCTCCACTGGCTGGCCTGTAGCTTAAAAAAAAAACCTTCCTGAATTGATGCCACAATCAAAACATATAACTAAGGAAAAAAACCCAATGAATAGCTTTACTGCTCACCATGGATGACATTCCACTTTGCTGTGACTAGCTACACACCTAAAAGAGTGGTCGACGAAAGCAGAAAATGGAAGACTGACTTGTTATGGACACTAGCAGGCTCCCCTGCCCCTGCCCTCCACCCTTCCTGTTGTCAGCTGATGGCTGGCTAGTGAGAGACTCCTGGCTCAGGAAGATTTGAGACTTAAATAGAGTTCTGGCCTCCTCTTTGTCAGGTGCCTCCTGCCAAAACAGCTTGAAACCCTCCCACCCTGATCAAATTAGTTGCTTAGCTTCTGATCTCTCTCACCCCAGCTATGTTCCCAACTGAGAAAACTAGTTCTCCTGGACTATAGGCATTCTGTTTTCTCAAATGTACTCATAGGAGTGATGGGCCATCAAGGCTGGGACATATTGATGGCTTTGCCATTGTTAGCTCCTATGTTAGTGGTCAGGATTTCATCTAACAACTTCTAAGTGTCCAGCTCAAGATGCTACAGTAGAAAAATGAGGGGCACAAAACTGTTTAAGATATATCTGTATATGTTGATATCAATCAGTACCTGTGGCATCATATTTGAAGTAACTTCTCTACAGGTAAACCGATGCATTATGTATAGCTGTCACCTCCAACAGTCCAAACATATGCTATACATTTGCATAGTTTGGTTAAATTAACCCTTATCCAGTTCTTATTAAAGTTTCCCATTGAGTTCAGTGGGGCATTGGATCATGCCCTGTCAGAGTCTGAATTTCCAAAGAATCCCTTTCATTATTAAAAGAATTAAAGAATGGTGCAAATACGAGTGTGAACTAGCACTCACATGTTATTTAATACCAAAGCAATAGCAAGAGCAAGTTGAATTTTGTAGCAAAGCACAATAGTGCTGCCTCTCTCTGGGTCTTTTCATGCTGATGCTCAGATAGTCACTTCAGATACTGTAAAACTGCTGCCTTTCTGGATGAGTCACTGAACATTCAGGTAAGAGAGAAAGGGGCTCTATGATGAAGCTCTGACTAAACAAAGATGTTCAAAAGCTTCAGAGGCGTAGCTGAGTTAGTCTGTAACAGGAAAAACTTAAAAAAACCAACAACTAGTCTAGTAGCACCTTAAAGACTAACAAAACATGTAGATGGTATCATGGGCTTTCATGGGCAAAACCCACTTCAGATGACTACATCTGAACAAGTGGGTTTTGCCCATGAAAGCTCACGATACCAACTACATGTTTTATTAGTCTTTAAGGTACTACTAGACGATCCGTATTTTTAAACAAAGATGAGCAAACTTATTCTGTTTCTCATATCCAAAATGTCAAATATTGATCTGGAATCTCTACCATTAGAGACAGGTTATAAGAATCTTGAAGTGAGAGTTTAATAACCTCAGATATTTGCATGCACACTTTGGGTGAGTCTACACTGCATGTGTAGCTTGAAATAAACTATGTAATTTGAGCTACGCAAATCGTATAGCTTATTTCGAGTCAATTTCGAAATAACCTGCTATTCCAAAATGTCCCTTACTCCTTGTGGAACGAGGTTTACAGGGACATTGGAATAGCGAGCCCATTATATTTCTAAATTACAGGTGTGCTGTTAAGACATGGGACAGCTATTTTAGGATACCTCCAGTTTCCCGAAATAGCACTGTATATAGATGTAATCTTTGTGTCTAACTCTTATTTTAGAGTCTATCTTAAGATACCTATGAAAACAATAAATACATACGCTATAGTGAATGAGAGTCTTTGTTTTGTCCATCAATACATATTTTTATAAAATTAGAAAAATGAGATGGAGGACAAACTCTCTCAAGCTTGAAACTGATAAAAACTCTTTTGTTCCCTGTATAATGGAAAATCAGTCCAAGTATGATGTGATAATGAAATCATCGTTACATGTCTTGCGATAATTTGTAATGTGAGCAAGGTCAGTGTCAGCTTCAGCTGATTTGATTTACACTCAAACACCATACATTGTAACAGAAACTAATATAATTCACACTTTTGACTATTCTATACCTTTCATTGTTTGTGATTGTATTGAATTTTCCTTATTTTTGCCCCTTTTTAAATTGAACTTGCTCCAAACATCCCTATTTTGATCAAGTGTTTCATTTCAAGCCCCTAGAAACCTACATAGGTTAAATAGTAGTACTGAACAAAATTGGCATGATACAAGGTTTTTGTTTTTGTTTTGTTTTGGGTTTTTGGGGTTTTTTTTTTGGTAACTTATATGAAATTTGGGTTAATTTTAGAATTAGGCAATCAGTTAATGAACACTGTCTTATCTGTTAAACTGCAAGTAAATACAGGCAGTCCCTGGGTTACGTACAAGATAGAGACTGTAGGTTTGTTCTTAAGTTGAATCTGTATGTAAGTCGGAACTGGCGTCAAGATTCAGCCGCTGCTGAAACTGATCAGTTTCAACAGAGGCTGAATCTGGACGCCAGTTCTGACTTACATACAGATTCAACTTAAGAACCCCAGACATCCCCAAGTCAGCTGCTGCTGAAACTGATCAGCAGCTGATTTCAGGAAGCCCGGGGCAGAGCCCTTGTATTTTATTTCAGAGGCTCATTGTGATCATTGGACCTACATGTTTACCCTAATTGTGAGACTAACTGTGATAAATGGGTGTAAGTTCCTAAGGTGTTACAATAACCTTACAACAGATGTTGATGGGGAAAGGCACGACAGAGAAGCTGAATTAATCCAAACAAAAAGGCCTCACGGATTATGCTGAAATGCTTGTAAAACTAGATAGTTTGAGGCCAAAAATCAATGCACCAAAATTTGAGGTGTCATAAATTAGGCAAAATAATTAGGGGATGGATATTCCACCCATCACTTTTGCGGAGGATCTATAAAGAAAGAGAGTTTGGGGAGAAAACTTGGCTTGGGGAGTGAACTTCACCATCATGGCTGACACTCCCACGATCTCTGGGGTCTCTGGACCTTCTTCATCTCAATCCTGAAAGCTGTCCTGACCAAATCAGGCCAAAAAATGGAACCCGAATAACACTGCCACTTCCAGCGGCTCTAGCTAAACTCCCCGGCTTTGCTCCAGGTGTCCCTGGTCTGCTGGAGATGGTCCCCAGCAGACCAGGGGCACCTGGAGCAGCTTTTCTCGACCTGGAGGTGGAGGTGGAGGTGGCGGGACCGCTGCGCTCTGGGCGGTCCCGCTGCCTGCGAGCTCTGGGGCGAGAAAGCCCCGTTTGTAAGTGCGGATCCGACATAAGTTGGATTCGCGTAACTTGGGGACTGCCTGTACACTTCTCTATTTTAAAAATATTACTGTTTCCATTTCAATGAACAAACGGATCAAACATCACACTGCAGGACAGAAAAACCAAGTGACAAAAAATGAATAAATATCAGCTTTCTAAAATCAAATTCCAAAGAAATAGTATTATTTTATGTAACATTCAAATTCATTCATACAAAAATAAACTAAACTATAAATGCAACAGGTCATAAATTATACATTATTCATTTTCTTCCCTCTGGGGAGGTCAGTAGGCATTTATAATGAAAGGGTGAGAACAGAAAGATAATATGTCATCTGGACAAGTCTGATTGGCCTCATAACATGTATCTCCAATGCCACAATAAAGACATTTGCATAGTGAAAGCAAAGGCAGTTAAAACTACATTGTAATGGGATTAAGGAGGATGAGAAAGTGAATTAGGCCACACATGAGGGGACTATATTGGAGAAACAAACCCTGAATGGAAGATGAAGCTTTATTGTGCATGTGTGTGCTGGGCTAGTATAAAACCAGGAAGTTGGCAACAAAAAGTGTGGCAGTGAGGAAGTCTTCAGTCAGGCATTCTCTGTGCATTGGAGAGAGAATGAGAGAATCCAGGGAAAGAACAGAACCCTGGGAGTCTGGCCCTCATGGAAGGGTGTATACTGAAGGGAGAAGGATTGATAAGGAAGTCCATAGAGGATGGAGTAGGAAGTAGCCCAGGGAGAAAGCAGTCGTGCTGGGGGCTGTGCAGACCTTGACTGTCGTACATTGGGTTGTAG